GGCAATGGAAAAAAATATAAATTTGTGAAGGCAAAAAGGGCAAAATCAGCTCCTCTTCTTTACATGGTAGCAAATCAGCCCCTTAGCTAAAAATGGTCGCAAATAGGCCCTCAAACCTTCAAACCTTCGAAATGGTGGCCAACCGTCCCCCATTTGACCGATGATGTCATCATTCCGTGAAAACTAACAGCAAGCTCAATTTCTATGGGGCCATTGCTTAGTTGGCGGTGATATGGACATATCAAACATCAATGTCATTTGGATGACTTAGTAATGGGGTAGATACAAAAAAAGTGGCCCAACTCAACTTTGATCTAATTTTTATTTTAATATTAAATTAACAATTTTTTAAATAATAGTAAATTTAATTAAATTATAACCTAACATAAATGAATTATAAATAAAAGAAAGATATAAATTATGAGTTAACATTTAAAAAATACACAGTAACATCTCATATGCAACCAGAAACATAGGTATAAACAAAAATATGTTTCTCTAATTGAAATAGATTAATCTTGCAACCTGCCTCTTGCTGAACGTGCTCTTCTTGCACCCCACTCAACCAGTGCCACTGATTGATGCTGTGGTCTTGCAGAACGACGTCTTCTTGCACCCCATGCTAATTCTTGCAAGTTATCAGGGACTCCTGGAGGTCTGTGGACGGCTGCCCTTGCTCTTAAGTTATTTGGAGGGGCGTTGGCTGCATTTGGTTCTGCATTTGGTTGACGAGCTTCTGGCAGAGTTTGAAATCCGTCAATATTGGGTAGTGTTGCTTGCATTTCGAGCAATGTCGCTGTTGCTTCGATGTCTGAATCATCCATCATCTTTGTTTCTTGAGCTCAGAAGGCCAAAGTGGCGGATATTTATCGAGGGGACTCGCAGTTAAAGTAAATTAAATCATGAAATAATATAATTAGTTTGTGGACTTGAAGTGGAGAGAATCCAAAAGGGAAGAGGGCTGGAGAGAATCCAAAAGGGGAGGGGAGAATGTGGACTTGAAGTGGAGAGAGTCCAAAAGGGAAGATGGCTGGAGAGAATCCAAAAGGGGAGGGGAGAAGGCGGGAGGAGAGAAGGCGAGATGAATCCAATTCTCTCCTCCCCTTTTGGATTCTCATCTCTCGCCTTTTTCTCTCCAGTCAAAAAAAAAATCATGGGAGGGGAGAATTGGATTCAT